ATTAGGTTTAAATCGCCGTCATGCATGAATTAATTATATTTTTGCTATTTTACACATAATAAATTATTTTGCTTTCCGTGCTTGCTGTTTAAAGCAACTGGGGCAGATCCAGCATGGACAGTTACGGGAGTGAGAGATATGAAGCACCTGTCCGAGAAAGTAAGAAAACATGAGAACACTAGGGCACACATGGGTAATTCTGTCAAACTAGCCATTTTGGGAAGAGTTAACATCGCTACCCAGTTAGACGACGGCCACAGGATTGCGATAAGAAAACACAACGAGGAGGTGGATAAAAACAGGTATATTTTATCCAAGATAATTGATTGTGTTAAGTTTTGTGGGGCTTTTGAGTTGGCCTTGCGTGGGCATGACGAGACTGACTCGTCAGACAACCCTGGCATTTTTAGGGGTTTAGTGGATTTTGTTGCCTCGATAGACAATGTGCTAGAGGAGCACCTTAAGACAGCTACTGTTTTTAAGGGCACATCAAAGACGGTACAAAACCAGCTGTTGGACTCCATGCTATCAGTGGTAAAGGATTACATTCTGGAGGAAGTAACTGCCGCTGATTTTATCGCTATTCAAGCTGACGAGACGACTGACGTTTCCACCCGCTGTCAGCTGGTGCTTGTGCTACGTTACATAGATTCCAATGGTAACATTCAAGAGCGCTTTTTTGAGTTCTTTACCATCCAGAACGCAAACGCCAACTCCATAGCTACAGCACTTCTGGACAGGCTAAGTACCATACTACCAAATGGACAAAAAAACAAAGTAATTGCCCAAACTTATGACGGGGCTACTGTGATGAGAGGAAGCAGCGGCGGAGTGCAGCGTAAGATAATGGATGTCTACAAAAATGCTCACTACGTTCACTGCTACGCGCATCAGCTGAACCTCATCATGCAGCAGGCGACATCACGCATCCCCAGAATCGGTGCTTTTTTTTCTGACCTTGGTGGATTTTCTGCCTTCTTCTCCAGGTCACCTAAGCGAATCGCCGTGCTTGACCAAGTGGTTGCGCACAGACTTCCCAGAGCCTCTACAACACGTTGGAACTTTCAAAGTCGCGCTGTAAACACTGTGTACGAACACAAGGATGACCTTTTAAAATGTTTTCAGATCATCAGAGACTCAGGGAACTTTGATTCCTCAACTGTCAGAGAGTCAGGGGGTTTTGTGAGGATGCTTGAAGACGAGGCTTTCTGTTTTTTCCTGGCATTCTTTCACAAGATCATGCCAAATGTAGACATGCTATTCAACCAGCTGCAGAAGAGGAACATCGACCCTGTCTACATTAAAGCAGCTGTCCAGGGATTCACAAACAACATGCTAGCAATTAGGTAAATCCCTTATTTACTATTGGCTGATAAAGCTGTTGTTGGTAGAAAGATTCATTGTCTGTGAAATCTTAATTGTGCCTTGCCATCAAAGTGAATGATTGCCACAGAGCACAAACATTTATTTATTTTTTTTTTTAATTATTATTTATTAACTTTCTTTTGGACCAGGGACTCAATTCCCTTTCTGTGTGGGGACAGTGCATCATCTGACCAGCAGTACCAGCCCAAAAAGCGACAGAGGACACTGGGACCAGGAGAACAACAGAGGCTAGCTACAGAGGTAAAAAAAACACACACACACACACACCAACAGACAAAATATGGCATATAGATTATAATTATTATAAATAAACAGATGGTTAAATACCAACAAGGAAAAAGAGTGAAAAGTGTTGTTTTCCCAAAAACAAATTCAAGATCCATAATGTTTTAGGTTGTTTAGTATGGGCGTTATATTGTAAATAATTATTCCATAAAATATAAAAAGAAATTGTTCATAAGCATTCTTGTAGTGACTCTTTGTAAATATATTATTTTGTGA